AACCCATCTATTCCATGCGGCCGGCCTGGCGTAGTTTTGATTGGGCTTTGCTAGGGGTTTTATATGGGGTATTTTAGAGCAGGCTTTTTATTCAATATTTATTGTGATTTTTATTATTGCCTGTTCACCGCCCTGAGTCCCGTAAGGGAGATAGGGCGGTATATAAATTTAAATAATAAATAAATAAATAAATAAATGATCCTTTCGGCCATCCTCACCACTCTCTGCATAAATAAATTGTACTGAGCAATCTTTTCTGCTATGACTTTTCATGCTGTTTTTTTAACATTAGGTTCATCCTTTGTTTTTGCTGATAATTTTGGTTAGCTTTCATTGTGTTTTCTTGGTAAATTTCAAATAATTAAGTGTGCTTACTCATTTATGTTGGTCTATGACCATAATAAACACTTTATTTAATTATTCATTTACTTTGTGTGTCCACTGATGAGTTTTGTATTTAAGAGATTTTTACAGTTGGATTTGCAGTTTTTTTTTTGTTTCATTCATTTTTAATTTTACTATTCAAAATGATAAACACCTTTTTAGGGGAGAAGGAAAGGATTTGTTTATATAAGCTTGCATAGATAAACTTTAGAATAAGGAGGTAGAATATGTAGCATTCAAAATACTATTAACGTATTTTTGGCAGAGATCTATGGTAAAGGTTTCTACTTGAAAAATACAAGTAGTTCTTGACTTATCACCACAATTGAACCCCAAATTTTTGTAGCTAATTAAGGCAATTGTTAAGTAAGTTTTGCCCCATTTTATGACCTTTCTTGCCACAGTTGGCAAGTGAATCACTGCAGTTGTTAAATTAGTAACACGTTTGTTGTCAGAAGATCACAAAAGGTGACTACATGACCCCAGGATACTGGAACTGTCATAAATACATGCAAGTTGTCAAGGGCCTGAATTTTGACCATGTGACCATGGAGGATTTACTTCAAAAGGTCACTAAAGAAATGATTGTAAGTTGAGGACTACCTATATATGAAAGACTGACATCCAGGGAAGAAATAGCGAACTGGAGATGGCTGCACTGAAATAATGGGATAAAGTGAAATAAAGAGCTGGTGAGTAGACCAATTCCTCTCTAGACAAAGAAAAGACTTGAGATCATCCGCAAGTGCTTCATACAGTTGCTCCTGTCGAAGAGACTGCAAGACTTTTCTATTTTGCAAAAAATGCCAGGTTATTCTTATTATAAAGAGCAAGCACTTTAAATACATACATTTCAAAAAAGCTATAACATATAAAATGGAATGAACATTAGCTTTCTATTTTATATCTCTCACAATGACTATGCTTTGATTTTAACAATGTACTGCCTTGCAAAAAGAGTATTTACAAAAGTGAAACTTGTTTTTTTTCTTTTTGTTTGCACCTTTCTTTTAGAACATTAATGCATTTGTCAAACTATCTTTTGTGTATATGAATGGCATGCTGTATCTGTTAATATTTATTTTTTTAGGTTAAACTATACTGTTCATAGGATAGTCTTCTAGCTCCAAATTAAAACTGTCAAACAGAATGTAGAATTTACTACATTTATTAATGAATATATATAAATATATATAAATATTTCTATATTTTTTGTTTACAGCCTTGAGGGACAATAGGATTGAACTGCTTCGAGCTTCATGGCATGAATTGACCATTAGAGTCACTGATGTTTCATTGTCAGATGAAGGGCAATATACCTGTTCTTTATTTACTATGCCTGTCAAGACATCCAAGGCTTTTCTCACTGTTCTAGGTAAGCATGTCATACTGAAAATAATGTAAGTTGGAAGAGCATATTCAGTGTTTACTAAAACTTCATAAAACCTTCAGCTGAAAATAGCTGTAGATCAATGTAGCACTCAGTCCCAAGAAGAAGCCTCATTTATCCTTTGACCTACACAACTTCTTCTCTCCTTTCATCTTTTGTGCCAGTCATGACAAGAGTGGAAATTGTCTATTTTGTTCTAGTTCAATTAGTTCAATTTATCTCCTAATAAGCAAACTGTGATTAAAGGTGATAAAATATAGCACATCAATTTCATAAAATGTGGTTCAGAGTTGGCTTGTTTCCACTGTTAATAATTTAAATTAATTACAGTTCATCTAGGTTGAACTTGGTAAATTATAGTTACTAAAAATCATGAACTGAATCATTCAGTTTATTCAAGTGTGAAAAGTCAAAGGTGAAGAGAGGGTGTATAAGTTGAGAGGAGAGAGGAAGTATTGTGCTAAAATCCATACCAAACACAAATGCTAATATTTTAGGAGTGTAATGGGTAGTATTGAATGCGAAGGAAGAAGGAAGGAAGGAAGTTACATCCCAATTTACATTTATATTAGCTCTATGTATCAAAATTCATTATGTCCATTATTGACTTTTTGTAGCATTAAATAGTTTTATGAGTGCTGCATATACATTCCTGGTTACTAGACAATACAGAAAGTAAATTTCTAAATGACATGAAGACATGAAGAAAATCTCTGCTCACAAAACAGGGATGATGGGAGTTTGAAAAAATTTCACATGGAGGGCAAAAATTGAACTAAATTTACAAGACTGAAGTTTATTTTTTATTATTATAAAATTATTGTTATTGTTGTTATTTTTGTTGTTGTTGTTGTTGTTGTTATAGCAAGATTCATAGCTTCATGTAAATATTTCCCCCAAATAAACTATAATGTTGCTACTAGTCAAAATCTGTAATATTGAACTAAACTGAAAAATAGTTTCACCTAATATGAGAAAATAAACATCCTGATAGACCAGTGATGGCGAACCTTTTAGAGACCGAGTGCCCAAACTGCAACCCAAAACCCACTTATGCATCGTCGGGTGCCGGGTGGGTGTGGCCCATTGGCTGGGCGTGGCCCATTGGCTGGGCGTGGCCCATTGGCTGGGCATGGCCCATTGGCTGGACGTGGCTGCGGTGGTAACGGCAGACTGGGTGGGACTAAAAAGTTCAATCAATCAATTCCAACTTTGAAAGATCTTTTTTTTCCCCCGGGAGAAATTGAAATTGACTGATTGAACCTTTTTTTTTTGCACACGGTGGCGGAGGCCTAAAGCGAAAAGGTTTTATAAAACCCAGCTGAAGGCCTAGGACTGGGGCGACGGCGCGCGTGCCCACAGAGAGGGCTCTGAGTGCCGCCTCTGGCACCCATGCCATAGGTTTGCCACCACTGTGATAGACTGTTGCCACTCCTCAAGAGTTCTGACAGTAATTTGAAAGAGTATGCTAACTCTATGGATACCTCAGCAATGTTCCAAGATATAAGATCAAATGTATTTTATTTATATTTGAATAAAAATTTAGTCAATTCACACTTTGTACATTTGGACATTACATTCTGAAATTTGTATTTATTCCAATTTGAACATGGTAGATTATATCTATAGAAAAATATATACTGCATTGGAAAATAAACTATTTAAATTAACTGACTGATAAGTATTTTGTATATTAGGAAAATTACATATACATTAAAGAGAAATTTCTACAAATATTCACCTATTAATAGAAATGAGCATAACCATGTAACAAAACTAACTGCTGTAATATTAATTGTAAGATTATATAATAAGAAACTGAACAAAATAGAACTTGTCAGATGTGCTCACTTCTGAATGTTTGTCAAAGCCGTAGTACATTATATAACACAAAGAAGCAAGAGTTATTTTTAGGTATATGCGCAATTTCTAAAAAGCTTTTTTCCCCTCGAAGGCAGTAAGATTCATTGGTGCATGAATCAAATGATGAAAGAACTTACATATATACATTTGCTATATTTCACTATGTCATTTTTTCTGAATATTTCTATGGGGATAGTTGATTCTTTAAATTAGGAGTGTCAAACTGCCGGCCCATGGGCCAGATGCATCATCGGGAAGCCACGCCCACCCCATTGCCGGCAATGGCAAAAAAGCTCTGATACATTGCGCGACATCACATGACGTCGCAAGTTTGACATGTCTGCTTTAAATAGTCTGCTGTTTTTCACAAAACGTATACAGTTATTAAAAAGCAAGTAATAATACTGTGGTATTTTTTAAAGTATTTGAGACATAAATATTCATGAATCTCAAATCTAGAATCTATTTATTGTTGTTGTTCTCCAAATGTTATATATTAGGATGTCAAAGAAAAAAATGCCATCTTAAGGAAGGATAATTTTATGGATCCTTTTCCTATCTAGATTTCTGATCTTTGCCATTTTTACTATTTTTCTCTGTTTTTTAATGTTTGATTTGTAAACCACCCAGAGTCTCTGCGACTGCAGCAGAATATAAATTTAATAAATTATTGTTGATCATAGAGTCAGCCAGATGTTTAAACTGGATTTGGCATTTTGTTCACCTATTGAGTACAGTACTTCCCAAGATTCTGGAATAGGTAGATGCTGTTATTTGATTGTATTAAAGCAGGGCTGTCAAACTGCTGGCCCATAGGCTGGATGCGTCACCAGGAAACCGAGCCCACCCCATTGCCAGCAATGGGGAAAAAGCTCCGATACGTCACACGATGTCACATGATGTCACGAGTTTGACATGTCTGTATTAAAGGATATAAGGATTTTTATTTCAGGATATAAGCTGTTCCAGTAATCTACCTTTTCCAATTCACTAATGATGATTTTGTCAATGCTGATGGTGTTCAGGTGGTGCTCCACTTGCTTTGGTATTGTATCCAAGACGCCTATTACTATTGGTATTCTTTGTCTTTCTTATCAACAATAGTTAAGTCTGGGTTGTTATGTTCAGATACTTTTCTGTTTCAATTCACTTCAGAAGTTTTAACATATTCACTTTCTATTATTGCCCCTGCCCCAGTTCTTCAATTCTTGAAGCAAATGATATTTCTTGAAGATTTGCTAACACACCATTGTTGCTACTTTGCCATGCTGTTATTTGTAGTCAGTCTGTGCAATCTTCTTGCAGCAACTAAGATAAGATAAGATAAGATAAGATAAGATAAGATAAGATAAGATAAGATAAGATAAGATAAGATAAGATAAGATAAGATAAGATAAGATAACCTTTATTGTCATTTTTTTACTGTGGGCACAACGGCACACATCAAAAATGAAATTTAGTTGCCCACTCTCAAAGTAAAACACATACATGACACATACCTAAACATACTATATACAACATATGTACAGACCTACACTTTGTCATTTTGAATATAACAATCACAACCAATTCTAACTAGGCATTTTACTGTTTCTTCAACTTCTTAGCACAGATGGTATTTGTTATTGGTTGTTGTCTTCTCAATTCTGGCTTTATATGCATTTATTCTTAATGTTTGATTTTCTGAAATCAGAATTAGTCTCTCTGCCTCTTTGTCAGGTCTCATTTTTTATATGCTTTATCTACTGGTAGTTTTTTTTAATGTATTGGCCATGATCTTTTCTATTTTTCATTTGGCTTTTCTTAAACATCAGTTGGTCTCTTTGGTATTCACTAAGCTTTCATGGTGTACTAGCTTCAGTCTATCTTCTTCACTGTCCTTCAGATATTGCCCTTTTTAATTCTTCAGTTGTGTATTGGCCATGATCTTTTCTATTTTTCATTTGGCTTTTCTTAAACATCAGTTGGTCTCTTTGGTACTCACTAAGCTTTCATGGTGTACTAGCTTCAGTCCATCTCCCTCACTGTCCTTCAGATATTGCCCTTTTTAATTCTTCAGTTGTCTTGTGTACTTGCAACATTCCATGCCTTCCTATGCTTCTTCATAGAATCTGTCAACATCACTGAATGGATGAAGGGTGTGATTCCTTTTCCTTATTTTTCTGGTCTTTCTATATAGGGCTTTTTGTTCAGTTTGAGTCAGTCTGCTATATATCTAATAAATGAATTTCTGCAGCTGTTAACTGTCTTTCTACCATTGAGTTTGAATGTTGAGGTCTTTTTCATTTCTCATGATATACAATATTCACTACTAACCTTCTTCTTGACTTCAGCATGCTTGATATTGTCAGCCTCAGGTATTTGTAGTGATCATCTTCATACTGACTCTTGAAGTTATTTCCATAGAGCACATTTATTCCTTTAGTTTTCACTATTTTCCCCTTGTTGATGGTAAGGGTGGCAGTTTTTCCAGTCCGGACTCCATTTTAGTATCTTTGCTGTATATTCAGACAGTGTTGAACATCTCTCCCCCTCCTCCTCCTCCTTCTCCTCCTCCTCATCCTCATCCCTCATCACCCATCCTTTCTCCCTAGTCTTCCTCCTATCCTATAAAATATCAAACTTTCTTATGGACTACTTTTCTAGGTAAATTGCTTTCTTTGTATGTACTTATGTGTATGTGTCTATGTGCATACTTCTCCAGAGTGAGAGTTATAGCTTTATATGAAATGGAAAATCAACTATAGGGACCTCTCCCTTTGATGTTCATACATTGTCTGTGATTGTGCACTGAGAAGATTTCTGTATATGGCAACTTTTATGTAAGCTATTATTGTTCATAAAGATATCTTGTTCTGAGAGCATCACTGGCAAAATTTGGCACATTTCCTTTGCCTTTTCTTATTTGTCCATTTTCCAATTTTGTACTTTTTAAAAAATCTTTCTCTATAGTAAGGTGAGAGTTGAATTTAATAAGGCTGATGTAAAATGTTCTGTGTGCTAGTAATATTAAACTTAATCCAGCCAGAGAATTGCTTTTGTGCCTAGGATATGAAATATGTGCTTCTGCTGGTTCCACTGAGACTATTTTACCAGTTTAATGTTAAAAGGGAGGGAGAACTCTCAAAACAGAGTATCTGGGATAAAGACAAATACAAGTTGATTTTTAATCTAAAGAAGTATTTTTGTTAACAAAATCAGGTTTTTAAATTCAGTGTAACATACTACATTTCTAGAAAGTATCTATAATAATATTGAAGGAACTATGTAGCAACTCATTTTATATTTGGTATTAATTTATAACTGTAATTAATAATTTAAGTATTGAAGTGGCTTAGAAATGTATGTATTTGAATAATATCTTACTTTATTTCAGATTATTACATGTTAATATTAAGTGCAACATTGTTAAGTGCAACATTTGCATGTCTCTCATCTTTATTATAATCACTTATTTATGAGTATATTGTGAGTGTCAAGTAATATCCACCCTTTAATGATAAAAATGTATGAATCTTAGAATTCCAAAAACTTCAATATATTCACCTAGTTGAAAAGATAAAAAGATTGTAGAAAGTATTTCATTTCCTTGATTAGATTTACAGTATATAATAATATTTAGTATGCACTTTATTGTTTTTGTGTCTTTGAGTTAGTGTTGACTCCTGGCAACTGCCTGAACAAGTCCATACAGTTTTCTTGGCAAAATTTCAAAAATGGTTTGCCATTTGCTCCTTCCTAGAACTGAGAGAGAGTGAATGGCTCAAGGTCACTCAGCTAGCTTTGTGCCTAATATTGGAATAGAATTCACCATCTCTCAGTTTCAAACTTTATACCTTAACCATCTGGCTTAACCACCTTCATTTAGTATATTTAGTCAGAAATATATATTTATTCAGAAATAAATCCCATTGAATAACAGGATTTATGCTATGGTAATCATAGTGTTGTACTCAACTGCATATTTTAATGTTTATTTAAATTTTTAATAATTTAATTTTGTAATGATGGTATAATCTGATCTTGTTTGTAATTGAATTATTATCATAACTTCCACTGGACTGTATATTACATGTTTTATGTCTGAAAGAGGCATGACTAAGATTTCTGTTCCTTTCAAATCTATCCTATTTAACTTTCCACTCATATTAATCATTAAATCATTCTGTTTTCTATTTTCCATTTTAGCCCTCCATTTTTATGAGCTTCCTTCTGCTATATGTTATGCTCTTCTTTATTCAGCCCATATAAAGTATTTTTCCCTTTCTCTCTCTCTTAATGGAACTGATTTTCATTCTTCTGCTTCACTCTAGCCATTTAATTTTTCAACAAGCAATACATTTGCAAAATTGCTGCCAGATTTACTAGAAAAATAAGAAACCTGAAAAGAAATAGTCCAGAATAAGTAACTAGCAGATTCTAAGTCTTGGTTGGAAAACTGTTGAAGCAGATGTCTAACATTATTTGCTATAACAATAACACATAATCTGCCCTATGTTTAAATGAAAGTCAATAAGCAATAGCTTCACATGATTCAGTATACTTACTTAAGTCTGACCTTTCAGTGGGAGCTGTTGGCCATAATCTGCAACAGCTGGCTTTTGAATATAGAATTGATGATGATAAATGATGAAATATGATGTATGGAGCTGACTATATTTAAAATGAAGAATTCGTAAGAACCAACTTAATAGAAAAATGGCTGGCTCATTTAACGAATGATGAATATCTAGACAATTGATTTTCTTTAAATGAATAACATTAGAATATATAATGCTAGTATCCTGGAATGAGACAATATCTATATGTCATGCAAAACAGAAATTTACAGTCATTTCCACATATTGAGGGAATTTTCTCTAACAGTTTCCCAGCAGATCTATGAAAAATAAAAAAATCAGTACTGTTTTATATTGTTATTAAGTCTGCTTCTCCAGTTCTGTTGTTTTTCTCTTTCCTTTGCAAGCTACTGTATTAATTTTGCTTCTTTAACTCAGAACCACTAAAACTATTTTTCATCTTTTATTTTCTTATTTCCAATTTATATTTATTTGTATTTATTTATTTACAATTCATATTTCATTTTTTAGCTGTTGATGATATGGGTAGAAATTTAAAAAATTAAATCTAGAATAGCAAAATATTTTATATTCTGGAAATGATGCAATATGGAGATTTTTAGGGAAAATCAAGAGGTAGAGAGAATATGAGTAATTCATTATTTAAAGGAAGTATGTTTTAAATTAATAGTGGAAATAAACATAGAACAAAGTGTATGACAAGGCAATACAATATCCTTTTCTCAGCCTGCTTTGAAGAAGTATATTGCAAGCTAGACTGGGCAAAAGATGAAATAAAAATCAATGGCACCTAATTAAATCACTTAAGATTTGCAGATGATGTTGCTCTCATCTCACAAGACCCAGAAGAGCTACAAAGACACATACAAGAGCTGCATGAAGCAGAAGAACCATTTGGCTTAAAAATAAACATGAAAAAGAGCCAGGTTATGTTTAATAAATTCACTAAAGAAAGAAAAATGTTTATATCTGGAAAAGAACTAGATGTAGTAGACCACTATATATACCTTGGCCCATGGATCTCAATGGAAGGTGATACAATAAAGGAAATTGAATGATGTGTTAAATGTGGTTGGCAGGCATTCGGCAAGCTAAGCATAATTTTCAAGAACAATCTCCCCCAATGCCTGAAGAGAAAATTTTTCGATCAGTGTGTGCTACCTGCTCTAACATATAGCGATGAAATATGAACACTAACCTCACAATGAAAACAAAAGCTATGAGTGGCGCAAAGAGCCATGGAAAGTTACATGCTCGGCATTACAAGACAAGATAAAAAGACCTGCACATGGATTAGAGAACAAATAAAAGTATCATCAAGACAGTAAAAAAAATGGAAATGGGCTAGTCACATAGCAAGAAGAATTGATGACTGGTGGACCAAGGTAGCCATAGAATGGATCCCACTTGATAAAAAGCATCCATGAAAGAGATCTAACACAAGATCTATCAACAACATCAGTAAGTATTGGGGGCCCAATGGGCAAAAGAAAGCTGAAGACCATATAGGTTGGAAAAATGTGGGAGAGGCCTTCATCCTTCAGTGAATAGACAATGACTAAAATGATGATAATGTTTTAAATATTATTTAAATGCAAATTTTGATGTTGATTTCTTTTAAACTATAATTTAATGATGACATAGGATAAGTGCAGTTATGAAAGGTACAATATGTAAAAATGGCATGGACCAAAAATAACTGATTCATTTATAAGGACAAATCATCAGTAAGGTCTCCATTCTACTTTCTAACTTCCCTTTGTACTTCATTCTTCTTTTCCTTCTCATCTGAGTTCCATCCAATCATATGAAATATTTTAGAGAGGTCAGTAAGAATATTTTTTTCCTATCTGAGGCTCTGCTTCATAGTCATACTGAATCCTTAATCACTGCCTGGAATATGGACCAAGACACTGGATAGAATCATGCCCATGCAATTTCTCTCAGTCTATCATTCCCAACAGTTCCTATGGTTTACAGAAAAATTGAGGGTGTTGAACTAATCAAGAGATGCCTAGAACGCAATTGGAAGAAGGCAAGGGATGGATTTGATTATAATTGTAATTGTTGACAAAGTGAAGAAAATGGAAACTCTGGACTCTGCTTGATGTGATCATTCCTTCACCAAGACCAGCAACTAATCTATTTTTAAATGTAAAGGTTTCTGAACTTCTTGTCAATTGTTTCACTGTCTACTTAATACACAAAGGTTCAGACTTCCAACTTTACTCTGAGTTCAATTTCATAGAGTGAATTGATTTCCAGAAATCTATAATTTACACAGGATAAATTATATAAATTATGGCCATTTGGGTTAATCAAAAAACACACTGTGGTCTAAAGAAAAGACTAAGTGATATGGTGAAGTTTATTCTGTTTAATATTAACTGATTAATTGGAATAACTATAATTTGGTATTAATCAATGGCTCTTTTCTCAAATATTACATTGTTTAAAATGTGATGCCCATTATCTTGACAGTTTGCGTTCAAACAGTTATTTCACTGAAAAAGTGTTTTAATGAATATGTTTGTTGTCTTCACAGCATGAACTGCATAAAACCTGAAATTCAATAATTGGTTCAAAACTAAAAAGAAAGTCTCCTTTTCACTTCTATATATTTTCAAAGTTCATCTTCTGTATTTGATTTGGACGATAAGTTATGTGATAAACCTATAATTGATGTATAAAAGAATGTATTTATTATTCATTTCCTACTGTGTTAATACACACTTTATTACTAAAGCAATTTTCTTGATCATTACTACCATTTTACTTTTCCCACTGTTTTTAAAAAAAATCTTAAACAAGCCATTAGCAAAACTGTAATTCATTTGTTTATCTTTTGTTAGGTGTTCCAGAGACTCCTCAAATTAGTGGATTTATTTCACCAATTATGGAAGGAGATTGGATGGAACTTACTTGCAAAACATCTGGTAGTAAGCCAGCTGCAGATATTAGATGGTTCAAAAATGACAAAGAGGTGAAAGGTATTGTTTGGAATTGTATATTTGCTTTATAATAAACAACTGTTAACTAATCAGGACAGACTCTGCTTATCAACATTATCTTTTTTTTTTGTTCTTTATATTAGTGATATAATGGCATTCTCCACTCCCAGATGGGACCATTAGCCCATTTTTTCTTTCTATTTTTTCCTGAAAAATCGAAATATATCTGTTCCATCCCTACCCATCCCAACCTGAAAGCTCCTTTTTCAAAATATTTGCTGCTTTCTCAGTAGCAAATTTGTTTTTTATACCAAATTAATATTAACAAAGGAGAATGTTTCAGCTCAGGAATGAATTGAAGGGTCCTTGGTGCTGTCTGAGCTTGGTTGGTTTTTTTGCACACGATTCATTATCCAAACTAATATCATCAGTGCATTGTGCAGTGTATGGCTGTTGTTTATCTAGTTTGGTTAGTGAAATATCTGCAAGAAAACAACCAAGCTCAGAGAATACAAAGGACCACCAAGGACTCAGAAAATACTTATATAGCAATAATAATATTCAGTTCAGTTTACCAAATGAACAATATATGTTCTGTTCTGCTCTGCTCCGCTTTACTCCATTCTTACACACACACACACACAGAGAGAGAGAATGGTATTAATATAGAGACAAATGCAACAAATAGAAAGATCTTATGTTAGCCCTCTTCATATAATTCTCAATCTGTTAGTTAAAGCTGTGGAACAATTATAACTCTTCAGGGATTCACAGTGTTTCCATACCCATACCAGAAGGGCAAGAGATATATTTAAGCTCTATGTGACTTACGTTGTGGTCACTTTGTAGCTTTCAAAAGTTGAACAGATAGTCAACTACATTGCACAGCCCTATTATAATACCAGCAAATTAAATATTGGTTCAGATAAGTGTGATGTAGAATGAGGAACAGATAAAGCTATGAAGGAAACTATTAACTATTTATGCTAATTAGAGATGGAGAAATGTGTCTGTACATTGAACTGTTTGATGAAAATTGGATTCTGAATTGTTAATCATTCTATTTATTGCTGATGGATTTTATTACCACTGTTGCCAACTACAAAAAGAATAGTTTGGACAATTTTATATCAGAAGTCAAAATAAACCTGATTTAACTTGAACAAAAACTAAGCTGGATAGCTTTGGATACATTAGTTTAAAGGAGAAGTAGAAACTTGTCATATTTTTCTTTAGGCAGTAAAATATGTTGGGCTAATTTATTAATAATTATGTGAATTAGAGTGATGGATAAATAATAATATATATTACCAGTACTTTTTTTCTATACATACAACCCTTGCCTACCCTACAAGGTTCCATCCAAAAAAGATGCCAGAACTCCGTTCTGGGCATTCTATGACAAGAAAAGCCCTGTATATTACAACTAGCAGCACCTCCCCCAATAATCAAATATTATTTGTTTTTACAAAGTCTAATTTAAAATTATGTTGTATGTAATTGTTTTGATTTACTTGATGTTTTATTCTCACCATCAGAAACAAGTGTTCATATTGCTTTACTACTAAATTTTTGGTTACCTTTTGAAATAACCTTCAACAAAAGCTAACATATAAAATTTTAACTCTTCAGTTGATGTGAAAAAAATACTTCATTTCTCTAAAATTAACATTGCTGTCATAAGAATTTTAAAACATTTGATCAGAGAATGGCATTAAAAGAAGAAAAAACATGAATCTCATTAAAATGAACACCCTAAATCTATTCTTATGGTCAAATGGCAAGGGAACAGAAAAAAGAAGACTGAAAATATACTTAACCTGCAGCATATGTGAAAAAGAATCTGTTCATTCTTAATTAATGAATAAGATGGAATTCAGAACTAGTTTTCAAGATCTTATTCTAGTCTCTCAAGGATCAAAGTACAACTGTTTTTTTTGCTTTTTGAGAAAAAAATGCAGTGAAAATGGGAAAATAGATACATTGCAATGTTAAGATCCATACTATAGTTTAGGGGGCGGAACCTACTTTTATGAAAACAAAATGCAGTATATAGAGAAGAAACATGGTCAAAATTCAAAGCAACTGCTTAAATAAGTGGGGTATTTCATAGCTGTTTGTTATATGTTTGGCAATTTATTAATATTATAGTCTTTCTAGAATTGATCATTTCATAAATTGAGCTGGATTAGAATGAATATGACTCTTAAGACATGATTTTGTTATTGTTTTCAATGAAATACAGGATTAGTGAAGGGTGTAAGAATGATATGAAGTTCTAAATATGGGATATATTGTGTTTTGTATTGACAACAGTAGTTGAGGGGGGGAGTAAAGGAAAAAAAGTGAAAAATAAGTGAAAGTACAATGTCTGCAAGAAAAAAGTGTAAGTCCTTTATAAAAAAAATAATGTGACTCCCAACTGAACAAATGAAAAGTAGTGATAAGGAAATAATGTAGGAGTTGCTTGGAACAGTTTGAAAATATTATGTTTCTGAGTTCCACCAACAAATAGCATTATGTTATTGGGAAGGATGTTAGATGGAAAGTTGAAGTGAAGAAGACTATGGACAGAACAGAAAAAGCAAGTAAGAGAATAATTGCTGCTAAAAATGAGGATGAGAAAATATAGTTGAAAGCACTATAGTCAAAAACAGAAAATAACATTTATGATTAAGAAAATGTTTGCAACTGTATGAAGACTAACAACAATCTGACTGCAGATTTACTGGAATTAGAAACTAAATATGGTGAAATAATTTGTTGGAAAGAATATTTTAGATTAAAATGTAAAATGTTTAGACCAATGCTATTGTCCAGGAGGGGAAAAAAATCTGATCAAAAGGAAGATATTGTAAGAAGGTTGAAAAATTGTAAGGCTGGGAGGTAAATGATACAACTGGAGAAATGTTATCATATAGAACTGATTTGCTTGTGAACTGGTATGTCTGTTAAAAATTATCATCACGCTGTTGCAATCTCACCATCTGGCATATTAATAGTTATTCCAAATTCCAAAGGGTGGGAGGTGTAGCCTGTAGGAGAATGATGCATCAGGATTGACATTTGACAAAAATAGCAGGAACATATATATATATATATATAAAGCAGTGTCCTGCTGTATCAAACTCCTGGTTCATCAGTTCAGCAGTCTGTTTTTACAATGGACAAGGAAGTCCACTAGTGGACAAGGAAGCCCACTAGTCTCTCAGAATATGCTCTCCAAAGACAATCGTGCTGCCATCCAGACTAATAACAGTTGAACTTCATGAGTTTCATTCATTGGTCCAACTCTTTTTTTAAGCCAGTCAAGCTCATTTTATATAATTATCAGAATTCTGATTAAGAAAATGTAAGAGGTAACAATGAGCAAATTCTAGAAACTGTAATGAAACTCTGTGCTGGGCAGGGCATGGCCAGATCAGAATTTTGCTTCAATAGATGTGTTTATTTAGAGAAACTATCTTGTACTTCATATTTTGTATGTGTATATGCAATAGGAACAGTATGTAATGTATCTAAAGAATTCACAAGAATAAACAATAAGCATTAGTGAACTCAACATTAACAGACTGAGCAAAAATTACTTTCATTTCTTTATATAGTTAAGAATAAATGAACAGCAAATGATTGTGGTGGCATTAAAGTTGTCATTTGGGGCATAAATGCAAATGCAATATGTACATTTATAACAAATAATCTGTTGGTGGCTAAGAAACTGAACTATAGATAACTATATGATAAAAGCAGGATGTATTTGAAAATTACTGTATCTCTGATCAAAGTAATTATGTTTTAAAAAAATAAATTATATGTAAATAGTGAAAAAACTGCATTAAGTAGATAAATTTGTGTTCCTTGGTAAGCATCTACTAACAATGTAGTAATAAAATGAGGAAAATTTTAACATGTGCAACTGCTAGTTGTGAAAGGAAGGAGACAAAACCAAAAGAACACATATTCTCCTCCCTCTCTGATTTCGTTTTAAGGCCCTACCTATCCCTTATGCATTGTGTTGACCTTTTAAACAGGAATCCAGTTAAAGAAAATATGTGGGTGTGAAGAAAAGAAGAAATGTGGAATGCTGAAGAAGAGAAAACAACTAAGGAAGGGCAAAGAAGAAATGAAAAGATCAGTTGTAAAGAAATTATAAGAAAGAAGGACCAAGAAATTAGATATAATGAAAGGAGCAAGAAGTCCCACGTCCTCTGGGCAACAACAGAGGAGAAGAGTTGGTGTGAATGAGTAGGTCACATGAACAGAGACAACAAAGTGCTGTAAATATATATTGGTGGCAAGAGGCTGAACTGGGATGCCAATTTGTTTGTGGGTTGGAAAGGAGATGTTGAAAGCCCAAATGGAACAGTAAAAAGGCCCTACTAGATCTTACTTAGCCATTAACTCACACAATCTCAGCAGCCTGTTGATGGCTCCCTTACTGGCATAACCAATCTATAGAAGTCATTAAGAGACCAGGAATCTCAGGAGTGTGTAGTATCTACTAAGAAGACACCAAATGTCAAAAATATTCAGGCCAGAGTGAGATGGATGTACCAGTTATAAGAGAGCCAGTGACAGAGAGCTGAGTATCAGAGAGCCAAGCAGAAGAAGAAAAAAAAGCATCAGCAGCAATTAAGACATCATCATCATCATCACCACCACCAAAGATGAAATACACTAGATCCCTGGAAGAAACATCAACTTTCCATCCCTTAATAGTTAGATGAGGCCACAATAGTGATTTTAGATAATCTTAGTCAAGAAGAGCTGAAGAACAACTCTGAACAGCTCAGAAAGGAATAACCCTGGAAATAGCTGAAAATAAAAGTTAAACAAAATACATAAAAAACTATACTTATAATGTAAGTTCAAAGATGATATGTTTAGAACTATATGTAGAATAGAATTTAATAGATGCTAAAGTTATATACGCAGGTGGATATGCCAGGATCATGGGGTACTTTGTAGTGTCTATGATGTAACAAGAACAGATAGAGTCAAGAATGTTTGTGCGCTGATTATATATAAACTTAAGTACA